TCTTGAGTTGAACTAACTAATCGATTGAATTAAATCTTTTAATGTGGTTCGGCACAAGTGTCTTACTACTCAATCCAGTTATTTTACCTCATCCTAAATTATATCATAGTCTTGTCACTTCTAGTTTTGTAAAACTTTTCATAAAGTTTTTTACTATACTCCCTCCGTCCACAAATAAACTTTACGTTCACTATTCACATGGTCAAACTTTATTTACTTTATTTCACTATTTTTGTCACCCATTTTATAAAATAATCTAATCATGTCACCTCTAGTTTTGTAGATCTTTTGGTATAGTTTTTTAATATGTAATTTTTATTTTTAAATTTTGTACCATTTTTCATATAAATAATTCAAAAATAACTTCAGCCAAACATCATAATGCGCAACGAGATGTTTATTTGTGGACGGAGGAAGTTTAAATTTATTTTTGAAGTTTACTCATATAATCAAATAAATTGAATTGAAAATAAGGCCAGTCAAAACTCGCAAACTGTAATGTGAAGATCTTAAGTGGATGGGAGAGTATGTAATAAGACATTCTTGATACATTAAAAAATGAATGAACATAGAGGCAAGCATAGACATACTTTATATCTATATTCATTCATTTCTCAATATGGTCAGAAATGAAATATGTTATTACACAAGTGGTACTTAATGTGGAATAATAGACATGATTATTTGAACAAGCAAGAGTGGTCTAATGGCGATCACTCCACGCTCAAGATTCTCTCTTTGTGAAAGGTCTTGAGTTTGAGTTACTCTACAAACAAAAAAGGTATATTTTTACCTGTTTATGAGTTTGAGAGTTAGATTATTCAATTTTAGAAGGTATCAATAATACCGACACTCTCAAAATGTTCTAGACCTAGTTGGGGTATAATCAAACGAGTAGGGGTAAATGGTGTATACTAATTTATAAGTCTAAGTCGGAGGTCAAGGTATTCCTGGCAACTACATGCAATGTGAGACAACTATGCTAAGCATATGGTCTCTTCAAGTATCAAGTGTATGCTCTATTCTTTTCCACCATTCGCTATCAAAATCTAAGTTACCTTTGCTTAGTGACTGTCCGACCAGATCTGAGGGATCCCTCAGGAATGGGCTCATCCATTACAATTGATTGTTTGATAGTTGAAGTTAAATGAATTCTCTTAGAACTTGTTTTCTTCAATTTTGTTCTTATTTATTAGAACCAGGCTAGATCAGAAAAAAGCTTTAAATATAACAATAATCATATTAGACCAGATAAGATCAGAAGTCAAATTAGAACCAGATCAGGTTAAGAGAACAAACCAATCCCTTTTAAATTTTTAAACTTTTCACTTTTGGATTTCCTATTTAATAGGTATTCTCATTTTTTTAAGAAAAGAAGTGTATGATTCACATCAATTCTCTTTCAGCACAAATTTAAATCACACAGTTTCACCCGTCTTAAACTCTGCATAACAAAACAAATGAGAATATGAAATAGGGAGGGAGGAAGTAATTACTATGTACTTACAAAAAAAATGTTGTGATAAGGTACTTGATTCATTTATGATATAAGTGATAGATGTTTATATGGTTCCAAGATCCACATTTAAAATATAGACCTTCTCATATTTTTCATCGATTTACATGTGGATATTTTCTTTTTTACATAAGGTCACTTCTTTCATGTTGCAAATATACTAAGATCCATAAAATGAGCATGGATCTTAGGCTCACAGAAAAATTTTCCGTATAGTATTTATAAATTTGAAATAAAGAACTAATTAACTCATTTCAAAAATAATATGGAATAATCGATATTTAATATAAGAAGCTTGAATTGAAATTTCTTATACTCGGTAGTCGGTATTAAAACTTTATAATATAAACAGAAGTAAATTCCATAAATGATCCTCAATTATATGTAGTTTTCTAATTTTGGCCCCCAATTATAAAATATTACTCCCTCCGTCTCAAATTAAATTGCATGTTTACTATTTACAAGGTCAAACTCCATTCACTTTCTTTCTCTTTTTTTAGTATTCATTTGATAAAATAAAATAGTCATGTCACCACTATAAAATAATTTGAAAATAATGTCAATCAAATATCGTGAATGATGATTCGTGACCCAAAACATGCAATATAAATTGGGACGGAGGAAGTACATAAACAGTCCTCAATTTTTGAAAACCATTTCACAAATAGTCATTTTCACCAAATATGACAATATTTTGAGTAATTCTCAAAATGGTCCTTTCTAATAAAGTTTTTTCTTAAAGTAATCCTGAATAAGCAAAAATTACTAACGCGGTCCTTTATAATTGAGATGTGTTTCCTAAATAGTCATTTATCAAAAATATTTATCAAATGATAGTTAAATAGAAGATATTTTGATGCTCTTCGTTATCTAAATTATGAATAAGTCCTAAAAATGACTTTTTTAAAAAAAAAATAAGTGGGAGGCGGGTAAAATAGAGAGCAAAATAAACGTCAAGAATGTGTTACTAAAAAACACGATCTAAAAATTGATAATTTTGATATTATTTAAAAAGTTTTGTGGGATGAGTGAAGTCATAATTATTCAATTCTTTTTCCAGTTAGTCTTAGGTTGTGTTTTCATTTGTCAATTTGTGAATTGAGTTACAATAAGGGTTGTTAGTGTTTGCATTTGTCCATTTGCAAATGGAAAATGCTAGGGTGCCACCACATGTGTGCTACCATGGGTGCACCCATGGTAACACCCATATGGTAACACCCTAGCATGGTTCTTTGCAAATTTGTTAAACAATGGAGCATAATCAATATTTACATAGGAGTTAATAATTTTACACCACTCCTAAGATCCTTACACAAGTTAAATTGAAAGATCTAGAGTGCTTTTTTCGTAAAATTCATACCCCTCATAACCCTCTTTATAAACCGCTATTACAGGCTTCACCCCCTCACGAACCCCGACCCCTAGCCCCCGCAATTGCACCACATAAGCTTTGTTGAGTTTTGGGGTCAAAATTTGTCAACAAAACTTATAGGGTGTGGGTTTATGAGGGAGGTTATGAGAGGTACAAACCATCAATTTTACAAACGGAGCACTGTAAGTACTTCAGTTTAACTCGTGTTACGATCTTAAACCACTTGGAGTGGTGTAAGATGATAAAATTTAGGATGGATAAGGGGTACTGGATTGAGCCATAAGATCCTTGGACGGAACCACATTAAAAGATTGAACTTAAACGATTAACCAATTTAACTCAAGAGCTTATAAACATGTTATATGTTCTTTTCAACTTTGCGATGCGGTTAAACTCTAGCACTCCTCCTCAAGTAGAGAATCTAGCCATTTTGAATCTCGTCGGTTGACCATATGCAAATAGATTCTCATCCTCTTTTTTTTAAAATCCCAGTGGGCAAACCACCAAGCTTGGTGGGGTAACCCTTACCGAGTTTATTAAGATTCTCATCCTCTTGATTTTCTTTTGCGCCGAAATCTAAAGGACCACGAGCCGCTGGGTATGGAGTTTCAGATCGACGAGCAATCGGGTTAAACGGGTCACATGCCGTTGAATATGCATTCCACACGGACACCTTGACAAATGAGGTGGACCAAAACCTACTTCGATACTATGATGAAATTTAGAATGTCGTAAGGGTGTCTGGATTGGGTCATAAGACAAATGAACTGAAAAACGTAAAAAGATTGAGTTCCATCGATTAACCAATTCAACTCAAGAGCTTATAAACATGTTATATATTCTTTTCAACCTTCTAATGTGGGATAGATCCTAACATAAAATTACAACTGCTCATATACAATCTATCTTTTAAAAAAACTTCAATTGTGCAATGCTGAAATGGTATGTCACAAAGGTGTCATCATCTATTGGCCATAGGTCCTCCTAGGAGTACTCCACTCATTGTGGTACCAAACAACAAATGTAACAAACCTTAGCCTAAGCCAAACATTAGGCAAATGTTTATTGCCACCAACCAAAAGACTTGTGAAAAGACTTGAGGAGAGGAGGCCACAATAATGACCACACAAGCAAAGCAAAAACATGAAACCATGTTGTGAGGACACTATTTGCAACACCTAAATTAGGAAACTACCGTTTGGAGGCATTTAATAATGCATATGATACATGCAAAGGGAAAGCTCCCAAACAGGGGAGGCAGCAGACAACACTACACGAGCGAGAGAAAATGTTCACAAAAAAATAATTAAAGTGAGACAATATTCGCACCAAACACGGGACAGCTTCTCTGAAGAGTAGACTCTCGTGGTTTACCTCCTCACTACTTTGTCGGGTCGGAGTGTGAGGGCACCCGTTACCATTTTTCCTTTTCGTGAGGACCGGATAATTATTTCCGCCCTGACTATAATTAACAAAATTTCTTATTTTGATCGTTTAGAATTGAATAATAGATTAGGTTTAATTATTATGAAAAACAGGTGTAACCACATGCACACTTGACTCAAATTTGGATCGAAAGAGAAATCTTAAATCGAATATAGCAAGTGACAACTTATAAATTGTGATTTGTCATTTTATTGTTTTACACAACCATTCTATTGTTGAGAACCTAGACGGGCAAAATATGGAGCCACACACTCGATTCAAAGTATTATTTGCAAAAGATTATAAATTTTTAATCAGAAAATTTAATTATATCCTCTCAACCAATTACAAAAAATATAAACAATTTGCACAACCCCCAAAGCAAATGAAGTTTTAAGAAAAGAATGAAACAAGTTACTTGAGAAAGATATTGTGTGGGTTGATTTGTAAGAGTCAAGAGCGACATATTCTATTCTTGAAAAAAAAAGTAAGAAATATAAATTATATTTTGGGATAGAAGCTAATGTGTGAATTCAATTCATGGACAAAGTCTTATTGTTAGAAAAAAACTATGGCATTGCTTGAATAGTCAATTGAGAGTGCAAAAAGGATATTATGACCGCGTTCAACTTCTAACAACGATGACGACCGTGCTCAGCATGGGATCCTTTGTATGTACCAGGGACAAATCCCACTCTATTGACCAGTCTAAGATAAAAGTTTCAATTCACCTCCTTCCACGCTTGTACCCGGGCCCGTCCGGGGGGGGATTTAAGGATAAGAGGTACAATGTCAAACACTTGCACTAGTCACAACCATGTCTTACATCCCATAATAACCATAATTACTCCCTACTTGGCAAGTCCAAAGCCACTACACCAGATGTGTTTACAATAGCTGCATAGTACTAGGTTTACAACAATGATGTTCAAAAATAATTAAGCCTAAGCCAATATACACTAAGATGCAACAAAGAATTCATGGAGCAAATGTGCCTGCTATGATTTGAACTCCTCATCTACTCTTTACAGACAATGAGAAACCATCCATGGCCAAGAAACTCCCTAACCTCGAGCTGCTTTGAGGAAGTTGTCGAAAGGACTGGCTGGAGGTAACCTAATAAGAGCTAACCCCGGCTCCTTTGCCCCCACTAGATCATCAATAGCCGTGTCTTCATTGATTACCTGCAATAGAATGTGTTGAAAAGTCGGATGATAGGTATTACTCCCTTTGTCCCAGTGTATTTATCTCATATTCCTTTTTGGGGCATCCCGGTGTATTTGGGTACTTTTCATTTTACGTATAAGAAATGAAGCATGTAATGCCTCATTTACCCCCGACTCATTTATCCACTTCCCTAAAGTAATGGTACTTTGGACGCTAGTTCCCCCTCGGTCTTCGACATTGATCATTGTTCTACATCCAATGTGGATAGTGGAGTGCTCTCAAATCCTACACACTTCACCAAATTCCATTCCACCCTGCAAAGGAACCAACTAAACCAAAAGCTCAAGCTAGTGGTTGTAGGCCCAGAAAAAGCTTATATATTCTAACATGCCCCCTCACGTGCAAGTGTAGCCACTTCAAGCCTTGCACGTGAAACTTTACATTTTTTAAAATTGGGTGGCGGTGAGTTTTTAACTTGTAACCTCTTTTGTCAACAAGGCTCTGATTCCATGTCAAAACACCTGCTCAACCAAAAGCTTAAGCTTATGATTGTAGGGCCCAAGAAAGATTTTTATTTTCTAATATGCCCCCTAAGGTTTTTATATTCTAATACACCCTTGTATGATCGAAGTTTGGATTGAACGTAAAAGTCTCAGAAGTGGGACTAAAAACGACAAAATGGCAAACTCTGGAGTACATATAGAATAGTGAATCTTCAGTTTTTAGTTGAAGAGTGAGCTTACCTTTTCAGCAGTTAATAGTCCATTTCTAGGAACGGCTGGAAGAAATATATCCGAAGCTTTAGTATAATGGTTTTCATGAGCCAACCAATTAGAGAGCTTCTTCCTTGTGTCTATGCCTAGACTTTCACACTGACTAGCCATGGCACCATACGGGAGAGGTGAAGTGGAGACAAATGTGCCAGCAACTTGACCAGCTACCTCAAGTGCCTGTAAAAGAAAAATAAAATAATACAGAATTATAAAGTGCATGGTAATAGACTTCTAAAGTCTGGAAATAAAGTTGAAAAGAACATGGCCTAAATGCATTAATGCACTTTTCTGCCAAATCTATGAGTTATGAGGAAACTTGTGGTACGGGCGTGGCAGGAAACAAAGTTGATGATTGTAAGCTGCAAAGATTAAAAAAACAAATGCCCAGAGAAACTGAGGGAAGAAAGAAAACTAACTGATTCCAAAAGTTGCCCAATATTGACAATACGAGAAGAGAAAGGCGATGGAGATGTTGGCATGAAGCGGGTAACATCAACCGACGATTCACTAATTTTATCATCTTCCTCGGGTGAGTTTGTTGGGAAATCCTGCAGCAAGAAGTCAAGAACAACACCTCACTAAAACACTTGATATTCACTTCATTTACTTGTGAAATTGACCTTTGTTGTAATAAACTAAGATCATTCAAAAAAAACATTATACCCTGTCATCAAATGAAGGAGAATCCCCGGAATGTGCGAGAACCTGTATGTGATCCACGTCAACCATCGATTGTAGTCCAAACAGGAAAGAATCATCAGGAGTAAAACCTTCTGATATCTGCTTCACTAGATCATCTGCCTCATACTTTGACACATAGAAAATTAAAAACAAAATAAAACAAAACAAAAACTTATTAGTTACTAACCCCTTAATATGGGAGGAGATGGATCTCATTAATTATAGCGCACCTCAGTAATTCTAGACAATCTTTCAGCTAGAGTACTCTGTATAATGTCAAGTGATGAAATGGTTTTGGATCGTACTTCAGAGAGGTACGCAGCAGCAGCTTGATTATCAGCAGTGGAACCATATTCTATAAAGTCTGTGCAAGGCCTCATGTATAATTGATAGTCATCACCAATACCCAAAAAGGGGTCAGCCTAATGGTGGTATCACGTGCAAAACCCCACAAATGTATGAAATATTAGTGTTAGATCTAACATGCATTGATGGTATTAAGAAGAGGTATCAAATGAAGTTGAAACTTACATCACGGTCCCTCAATGGTTTAACTAAACTACTCAAGTCAGATACTTGGTATGTTTTAGCCACAATTGCCAACATTGCAGTTGATGATAATAGAAGTGATCTAAGGTATGCTGGAGGCAAGGTTCCTGCAAAAGAAAACCATATTCATTGCACATCCTCATAGACTACATTACAATAAGGGTTCAATGGTAAAAGCATACTATAGTATACCGTTAGGATCTAAGGCAATTTTGACGAGAGATAGGGGAAACTGGAAAAAGCGAACCACGAGCTGACTTTCGCCGAGCTGCAACAACTATGGAAAAATCACAAGAGTTGATGCTTAATGGAATAAAGGAAAAGCGCATACCATAACATATTGTCCACAGTAGGTGTTAATTATGTGGATTGGTTATCAAGGGATTTGAAAATTTCATTGTTTTTGTCCAATCTCCTTTAACCAGGATATTCCACCACACAATTCTCATTCCATTCAAAGATGAATCATAAAAAAAAAGAAACTTCTTTCAAAGAAAACAATTATTGAGCCTTGTATGAAAATTGAGTGCGTCAACCCTTACCCTAAGCCGCAAGGAAATGACAGTGAGGCAGAAAGATTGAGTAAATGCTACAACATTAACAGGCAGATTATCTGGCATATTAGCTTGTATCCAGAAGGCAGATAGCAACTGGGTAATTTGATCATCATTAAGCTTCAAAGTTGATTGTTCCTGTGCCAATGAATGCCACATAAATATCTTCGTACAAAACATAGGAGTTGATACTTTTAGTTCACACAAATGAATAAAGGGACCAATGGTGGCAGTATAACCATCCTTACTGTCTCAGTTAAGCTAGCCGATGCAACTGTACGGTCAAGGATAGAATTTATTTTTTGAATACTAGGAGATGTTCGGTGTGCCCACTCCTGCTTCCGATCTTCTTCAACACTGTTACTCTCTTTAAAACCAGCTTGAATGCTAGAGTCATCCCTTAATTTAGAGGCATCTTTTTCTCTGCATAGCTTGTCTAGTAGAGCAGTAATTGAGAAGAATGTAGAAGTCCCACTTGAATTGCATCTCCTCGTATGACTTGGGGCATCATGTCTCATATAGTTAGAGGATGTTACAAGTAAAGCAGAAAAGATATGGTGCCCATCAATACGTATTTCAACATTGGGATGAAGCATCACTCTTAAAAGCTGAATAAAAAGCTCCTCAGGGAACACCTATATATTAAGGAAAAAAAGTCAATTAAAAACAGTTATGACAGATGTCAACAAAAACATGTATTGGTTTATCAAGTATTCCGGAAGGAAGAAAGGATCAGTAGGAGCTATACTGTCTATGCGTGGTGTACCGTATACATATAATCGGATGTAAGCTAGAAGGCAAATGTAAGGGTTCAAATGGAAAGGATTTATCTGAGGTGCATATTATTGGTGTTTTGGCAAATAACATCGTCACAGGCGCTTGACACTCTGAATTTGGTTTAATTAAAGGGCTGTATGGTTTTCAGTTAACATTCTCTTCTTTTTGCCTATGGTGGCAGACTCAGAAATCCAGTGTCAAAAAACCGTAGTGTAATTAGATAATAGTAATCTACGATTAGTAGTGGTGGTGGACTGGTGGCAGTCGTAGTCGTAGTCGTAGTGGTAGGGTTAGAAGTTATACTACTATTAGAATTAGGGTTTTCTTCTATTCCCTATCTATTGAGTTCCAACACATTAGTTGAGATACAAGAAATCAATAAACAAATCATTCTATCTAAACCCTACTTTTGTCTTTCTTCTCCCTCAAATTCTTCTCCTCCTTCCCCAATTTCTCTTTGGAGCTTGAAGACGCTTGAAGTTCTTCCTTGCCCGATACGATATTCATATCATGCTGCCCCTAGCTTTGAGCTTCTCAAGTAGTTTCGCATGACTCCAAAGAGGGGAGGAGGAATCCATGAAACTAGAGAATAGAGAAGGGAAAGAGACTGCAAAATAACTAGGGTTTATCCTTCTAAGAGGAAAAGTGAGGAGACTCTTAACCAGAATGAAGAACAATATAGGGCAAAGGCCAAATGAAATAAGCGCTTTCATAAGGTTTGTTTTAACAGTTTAGTCCAAAGCTGGAGTTATTCAAACTGGTCACTTTCAAACCCTCAATTATGTACCGAGGTGTCTCCATATTCTTTTCTTTAAAAAAGGTGACATGTTATAGAGATGCTCCTCTCGTGTTCCCGAATATCCGACATGCATACATCACTTCTTTTGAAGCGCATGCGCTTCATAGCTATGTGTATCGTGGCCCCGTTCTCATTTCTCATATTTTTAGAAAATGTGATTTCGCATACCCATATGTATGGGTAGGGGTACACGTACTTCATATTAACAAAACAAATTGTAAAAAAGAGCTAAGCATCAAGACCGCAGACCGATAAGTAGTGCTTAGTCAAGGATAGGCAAGAACTAAATGAAACTAAGAAGGTAGGTCGTTAAGGACATCATAGTGCCTATAAGGGGATTAATTGGGGATGGGGGGATTTTTAGGATGTTTCAAAACCCCAGTGGTTGAAAGGTCTGAACCAAAATCCAAAAGCTTCATACCTGCTGAAAATTAGAGGACAATGATGCTATTGAGATCGTATGTGCAAGGATGATTAATGACCCCATTGTTGCTCTGGCAACTATTTTATGGGATGGAAGCGTCTCCAATGTCATCGCCATCATATCTAACAGGGGACGCAGATCTAAAATCTATAACAAACAAAAAAGATATTACAATAAAATCCCAAGTGAAAAGACTTTATTCAAATTATGGCAGTTACCCCTTTGGCGGTTTCAAGTAAGCATTCTTGAATGGAGGTCTGAAGTGTAAGATTTAAGTTCAACTCCTCCCCGTCCAGATCCACAGTTGCTAGAAGACTTTTACGCAAGTGCCGGCACAAGTCAGTGACAAACCCGATATCTAAACATGTACCCCCTGCTCGCATTTGACGAACTAGTGCAGTGGCAGTTTGAATGACAAATGACTTGAGCTGAGAGTCGTGTGCTACATTTTTGTGGTCTAAATGTCGGATCATGCCTGTTAGAACCAACTGGTGATTCCCTGAGGTCAGACAAGAAGCATTTTAAACTCCTTTCATCATCAAAGCTCAAACCACGCATCAAAATTCATATTTCATAGCATGATCTGTACACATACATGTATCAAAGATATCATTGCTTGAGACAGACTTGGTGTTTGCTAATGCAATTAACAGCCAAAAATCTAATGCTAAATGAATAGCCGTTCTTGCAATGCCTTTCGATAGAAATAAGCTAATGATTGGGTTCAAATAGAAACTTCAGACCCATAATGGATACACATTTGCACGTTAGAAAAAAAATACTGCTGAATTTTAAGACTGACCCTAGGCCGGTTGGGTGGCCTTGGTCTGACATTTTCATCTGTGTATACAAATATATGGTCTTGCAAAGAATCTAAACAAGCATTGGTAGACTGCTAGCTATGTACATGATCTAAAACAGGCATTAGTGAACTGTCATCTGTTCTTTCACATGGTATCATAACCTATTTAGAATACTGATGAGAGGATGACTAGAGCACACAAAAATAGAAATATGTCAACAGCCCCACAATAAATAATATATAGCACACAGGGATTATTCTTGATTTTGTTCAAATGTCTAGTACTAAAAACCAAAAGAATGTGAGATGGTAAGAAATAGTTTCTCTTGCGAGATAAAGAGAAAATAAGTGTTTAATAAAATTGTCAGATTTTAAAAACTATATATCTAGAAACGTTGCATGAACTATGGATCGTTAGATTACCTGAGTTTTCCACAAAGTATGAAATATCAGACATAACCACAAATGCTAATCCATGCAAGGGTACCCATTGTTTGTTGTTATCAAGGTGGATAAAAATAGGATCTAAAACTCTTCGCATTGTTGTACTCTCTTTTGCTAGATCAGCCATCCTCTGAATACATATTTGTGCCCATACTTTTGGCATTTCAATCTCTTCTCTGTGGACAATTTTTATGAAGAAAATAAGTACTGAAAATAAATGTTACCTGACAAAATACGGAGTAAACTTTTTTTAAACGAAAAAAGTTTGCCACTTTGCCTCATTAGCTATGTGACCGGAATTTTCAAAACACCACTGGAAAAGCTAATCTCCTTTTATATTCATATATCAACCTCGTCAATAGAGCAAGATCCCTTTTGACAGGGCGCTTTCTAACTAGATGGCTGGGTCTATTTTCATTCCCAATATCTCTTCCTTCAGATCGAATAACTTCATCCACCCAATTATGATGTGCTTCCCCTCTATCGTCATCTTCATTATAGGCATCTGGCTCATAATTATCCAAAGTAACATGTACAATCTGCAAAAGTCCAAATAAAAATTTCAAGGCAAGATGTTTCCATAAGAGTGTCAAAATAAAATACAAAACTTTCCACAAAATAACTAAATTTATTGCTTATAGAGATAGACATTCTGAGCCAATGACCTGCTTACTAATAAAAGGGTGGGGCCAGATGTATTAATATAAACCATTAAGAGACAAACTTGAGATATTGTATGGCCAATCAACAACTATTGTCCACAAAAAAAACTTTATTTCACCATTAACTTACTACTGTTTATATTTGTTCATAGACTAACAGAGAGTGTCCTTACCTCATCAAAATCAGTAAAAATATGAGAGAACTCAGCCATGAACCATACCTGCAAGGATAAATCATAGAGTTAGTTGCTGAACTTGGAAACAAATAAGAAGAATAGATTAGCATTAAACAGTTTTCCTCGTCAGTGC